AGTTTATCTTTGAAAACAGCAAACAGGCCCGGGAAACCGGCGGCTTAAAACATAAACTTAATCTTTAAGCTTACTAGTAAAGACTTCAGGATTCTTAGAGACACTTAAATACTCATTTGTTTGCGTGAATGAAAATTGTTGTCTCTGTAAATGTTCTACCGAATTATATTTTTTTATTGATTGTTGGTAGTCTCAAAAGTGTAATTTTCATCGCTTTGCCCTTTGTTTTCATCCGTTCATAAACATCGCTTGCAGGAGTACTCAAAATGCCGAGCGTATCAAACGCATTTTAAGGTTACACATCGTTATAAAACCATGAATAAAAAATAGACTCAATAAATTCTTTATCGCGTTGAAGCGTAACTCGTTTAAAATTTCTTCGCAAATTGGCGCTTGTCAAAAGTTAGAACCGGCTGGCCATATAGGTGATTTTGGAAATATTTTGAACGGTTTCGCTAATTAAAAGTCCACGCGTGCTTCGATGGTCCTGAATATAAATTTGAATGAATGCAATTTGTCTTGAAAAATTGTGAAATACTGCATTTTGTACGAGGTCTGTATGATAAAAACAGCGCCTCATAGTACTCTTTCTCCTCAGATGTGGTGTAGTAAAAAAAAAATGCCGAAACAATAAAGATAAAAGTTACTTAAGCCTAACAGATATTAAAATACCTCTTATCTCGCGTAGTATAGACTAGCGTTTGAAAATATGATTACTCCGTGAAATTAATAAAAGTTTCTACCCGCTAGATTCATTTTACAGAAGATATAGAAAGAAAAGTGTGAGATTTACTGACACTCGTGTCCAGGCTTACTCTTGTTATTAGAATACAGTTTTTAGTGTACGGTCAAACCATAGGCCTTTCCAGTCAAATCCGGATATTTTTGAAAACAGAAAATTTTCGAAAAAAAATACGCCTCCATATGTCACATCTTGCGTATTTGCGTATCTACTTGAAAACGCTAAATTATAAAAAGATGGAAATACGATAGCATCCCTTACAGAGCATGCGTAATGCTACGAGCACATGATGTATGAGATCATTGTACACGAAAACCTCTGTTTTCGTTCATCTAAACGTGAACGAGAAGCCGGCGTTTTCAAAATCTTACCTCTGGGATCCCGCGTTTTAAAAACGTCCCCGTTTTGGTGACCGAAAACGCCGTTTACTAGTAAACGGAAGGCCATAACGACGAAAAAAAGTGTCCGTTTTAAAAAAATATCCGAATACGAGGTGGACGGGGCCTTATATATAAACAGTGGAGGCAGGAGCCCATATTCCGGAGCGAGCAACTTCCATGCGGTCGTATCATGGCGTTTTTACGGACCAGTCTATTTTAAGAACGGTTTTGGCGCCAATTTTGAATATCTTTTAAATTCCACAAACCAGTCAGCAAAACTTACACCTACCTAAAAATGATATTTTCTGCCTTTTAATAACGTTTAGCTTTCCTTTCTGATATCTTGGGCGTGTTTCAAACGTCGTGCTACTGCCGTGCTAAGCTGGCTCGACTGTAGCTCGACCGCAGCGCGACACTTGCACGACTTGGTTTCAGACGTCGAATTTAGTTCAGTCGAATAGAACCGCTGTTGCCGAAAACGTAACACAAAAATAAAGAAACGGTTTAGCAAACTTTTAAATATATTCTAATGTATTTATAATTTATGAATTGAGTTCGGCACGGCGGTAGCACGAAGTTTGGAACCAAGTCGAGCTACTGCCGTGTAGCACGGCAAGACTTGCTGTGCTACAGGGGAGTAGCACGACTTAGTCTCATTAGGGACCTTTAGCAGTGACGACGAGCACGTGAACGTCAACAACCGGAAGTTGGAAAACGAACCATGATGCTACCACGCATGCCCAAACGAGCACGAGCTCGTCGTCCACACCTCGTTGAGGACGCCATTTGCCGCCATTTGACGTCCTGTGGTGAACGTGAGTATTGCTTGACTTATTTTCTTCTATTTTCTGACTTAATTTTGCAATTTCTTGAATCCCAAGGTGATAAGACAGAAGCCGTAAGTTATTCCTGTTTCTGTGAAGTAAAAAAAACCGATTTTTTTGATGTTGCAGGAATAACTGCACTCGGTCAAAGAAGTGATGGATGCAGCAGGAACATCAGGGTAAATTTCACGCTTTTTATAAATGTAAGTTGTATTATGTAAAACGCATTTGATAACAGTTTTGTATAAATCCTGTCGGGATTTTTATGAAGTTTTGTTCGTCTTTGAAAGTCTAAACTATTCGTGTAAATACATTTGAGGTAAGAATCCACCTTTATAGCTAAACTCTGAATAAACTTACCTCACTTTTTTGCTGATATAAAAGCCCTCTCAAAGCCGAGTTGTTGTAGTCGTTAATTTTTGCACATGAAGATTTTTTTAAATCGTTCTACAGTCATGTTTTACGCTGTACTGATTTCCACCTCGAGAAAAAAAGGTTTATTTACAAATAATTTTTATTGCAGCACAGAAATCGTTTTAGGCAATTAATATGGAATCAAAAGTTTGTAAGCTTACCAGTATTAACACTGACTGTAAAAAGAGGTCAGAAGAAGGTCAGAAGAGCACGATCTCATGCTATGCAGAGAAGTTCTTGTCATGGAACCATTCAAGCACCCAAAGCGAAGTAGAGAGAGAGGAGAAATCTGGGGAGAAATAGCACGAAACTTAAATGGGCTCAGTGTACCCAAATTCACTGTAAGAACGCGGTCTGTTAGGGACAGGCTCACTCTTTTGCTGAGGAAGTACAAAGAAAAGGTGAGAAACGAAGAGCAGGGTTCTAGCATGAAATGTGACGAGGAAACAGAATTGGAGATGGCATTGTGTGAAATCATAGAAAAAGAACAGGCAGCTGATTTAGAAAGGAAAGAAAACACTAACACTCTTACCAAGAAGAATGAAAACGACAAGGCGTCAGCCGAAGAAAGTAGGTTGAAGGCCTTGGAGCGCCTGGGCCAAACAAAAAAGAGGAATGCTGATTCATGTGATGAAGTTATGAAACCAAAAAGCAGAAGAAGTACCACTGAAGCTGTGCAAATTCTAAAAGAAAAAGTTGAGAATGAGAAGGAATTCCGGAAGGAAGAAATGGAATTGAAGAAGAAAGAGCAAGAAAATAAAGCAGCTCAGCATCAAATGCTGATAGATCAGCAGAGGCAGAACCAGCAACAGTACCAGGATGTAATGAAGATGATGGCTGAACAGCAGCAGAGGCAGGAACAGCAGCTACAGAACTTTCAAATGCTTTTCCTGCAGCAGCAAAAACAACAGAGTCAAATGTTAATGAGTTTACTTCAAAAAGTAATGCCCAAATCCTCATAAGAGCTGGCAAAGGCAAAACAAAAGTTGAAAATCAAATTGTCAACCTTTCGCCCTTTCAGCCCTTTAGAGCCATGTTGTTGTTCTCATAATTTTTAACTGATTATTTTCCAACTATAATTTTGTCTCTTTTTTTTTCTGGTGACTTTGCCTGTCCAGCTTGGTGATTAGTTTTTCTTCACCTCGACTTCAAAGGTTGATGGGTTGTTTACACCTCTGGAGAAAGGAATTGTCTTAGTTCAGTGTGTACAGTGATCAAAGATACATCGTTGAAGCTAAGATGACTTAAGTAAACTCTTTCACTCACAAGGATATAAAAGTTATGAATTAAAACTTCAAATTAACTATCACATGGCTGATATAAAATGCTGCAAACCTTTTCAGTAACATCACATAAGAGTGACTGCTGCTTGATAGGTGGCATAGTAATTAAGAACATGGTCTTAAACATCGTCGTGAGAAAGAAAGTAGTACACTGATGTTTAGACACTGGGAGTGAAAGGGTTAAATTAAGCTGTCCTTTGAAATTTAAGAACGTTAGTGTTATGATGTGCTCCATTTTCTTACATTTAAGCATAGGTTGAGCAAAACATTGAAATAAGAATAAAATACACATACCCTTTTCAGTACTCTTTTGAAACATTAGCATCTTATTGCTGAGTGTCCGGCTCTGGAATTATTTATATATTCCTTTTAAGCCTAGGGCTATGAAGGTGGAGGGGGGATGGGAAAGGTCTTTGAATGAATATTTTAACTTTTTGATGGATTGATCTATAGGCACCAAATTGATCTGGAAATATTCGTTTGTGCCATTATCATATTTATGTGACATTTGCATTTCCATAGCAACCACATGAATCAAACTTGCATGTGTGTCGTTTTCTTTTATTTTCTTCCTGTACATTGAAGATGCTTTTTTAAAGTATAATTCCTTCTTTCCAACAGTCTATATTTTACATTCCATTCCACTGAATATGATCCAGGAAGGAGAAAATACATCATCAAAATCAGTACAGCTAGACTACAATTCATTGAAACTATTGTTCCAGGGAAGGGGGTTCAATACCAAAATAATCACTGGTGTTATTACCATAAAGGCATGTAATGGCGTTACGGAGGAGTGCGCAGACAACATACATTTTACCGACGCTGCTAAGGCCTATCTTCAAATTCTTTTTATAGTCAAGAAATTTAAAAGAATTAATGACGTCACCGAATAACCATTCTACAGAAATCCGTAAAGCGCTCATAGCCTCGTTGTAATCTTGCATGAGGGGTGTAAGTGGGACACGACGGAAAGGTGTTTGGAGATGAACTCGGAGAGGGTAGGCCAAATCTCCATAAATGCACATAGCTTGAGCTGCTGGATTATAGGCATACTGTTGAAGGTCCCGCAGTAGTCCAGAATCATTTAACACCCTGCGTCGTGTTTACGCCCCTCTAGAAACGAAATTAAAATCAAACATGAGAAGAGAATTTTTTTTCGGGGGCGGAGGGGGTTATTTAAGTTTAAAACACTAACGTTTTATTACAAACTCACCAACTGGTCCAAACAGGTTGCCAATAAGTCCATTTGGTAGGGACAAGGATTGGAATTTTAATGCATGGACCCTCTTGTGGCTATTGCACACAATTCTCTGACGCTCATTTGGTCTTGAGATGGGTCGGACTGTTCCATCTACAAAACCGAAACAGTTGTCAAGGGGGCCTCCTTTTCCCGATATAGCTTCTGCATAACGCTGCAAAGCCCCAGGATTCAGAAGATCTGGATTCCATTGTGTTATACGGTGCCCATGAACGTCATAAATAATATTATAGTCGATGACATCATTTGAGATCAGGCTTAAAACAGAAACCGGTCGGCCAAATCGAGGAATCAGATCACTGAGTCTGCATGGGTAGGCAACTCGTTGGAGGAGTATGCATAGGCCTTCCATGTCGTCGCAAATACTCCTCTTCTCGCATTTAAACACCGGTGGTAGTTGGAGGGCTGCAACAAGGCGGGGGAGATCGTGTTTCTCGACACGAAACTCTGCTTTGCACTCCGCGGAGTTCATAGAATCCAAATCAAACCGTTGATAGTTTTCATGGGGAAAATCTGGATTGAGATGAAACTTATCGTAAAGTAGCAAAAACTCTTCATCGGAAATAATTTCATCGCCGTAGAGAAGTACAAGGAGGTCACGAAATTCTTTGAAAGACATTTTCCTTGGTGACTTTCACTGAAGGAGGAGACTCGTCCACGTGCCGTAACCGGTTTGCTAAATGTTTTTGTTTCCCGCCGAAATACCGCCGTGGACGACGTTCTCGTTCCAGGCCCCAATCGGTCATACCAGTCCTCGTCCTCGTTCTCGTCTTCATTGCTAAAGGTCGCTATTAACGTCGCGCTACTGCCGAGCTAACGTCGAATTTAATTCGATCAATTGAGTTCGGCACGGCAGTAACACGACGTTTGAAACGGGCCATTTACTTGGTGGGGATTCTATTTTCCCGGGAAAAAGTGCCCTATATGCGTCTAAAAATAAACTGGTCCGTAAAAACCCGCTGACATATGCCCAGTATTGCAGTTGCTCGCTCCGGGTTATGGGCTCCTGGTAGAAGTCATTCATCCGATGAGGGTCACAGGTTCCAGTGAGTCCGTGTTTTGTCTTTACGTGTTTTTAATGGCTAGCGAGGTGCAGTTTCTCTAACAAAAAGACAGTTGCAAAACACTTTAATTTGACTTTCGAGATGAGTAGAGAAGAGAAGAGTGACGTCACGCAGTCAAATTTATGAAATCGTTTATTGGATGGCATATTCAGAAAGAACAAATTGGAAAAAGCCCCCTTACCAAAAATCAGCCTCTAGCTGTTAGTGCATTTTGTTCGCATTTGCCAACAACGTTTAATACTTAACACAAAACACCAAACACGAACGACACGAACAAAGTATATATGGAAAGTATATATGGATTTGCAGTGTTTTTGGACATCAAAAGTAATTGAACAATGTTTGGAAAAATGCATCTGTGCCTATCACGTTATAAAAATCCACATAAATATCATGCCAAAAATAAACAGTGGACCACATATGCGCTTGTTGCATTTAAATACCCGCCGGCGGGCACTTTTTATGAACACTAACAGTAATATAACAATCGCTATAGACCATATAAACAAAATGATAAAACTCATCTTTGAAACATTTGCCCTACAAGAGGTTTCTCTGAAGACAGAAGAATGCAGATGTTTTCTTCTTTTAAAAATAATTGGAGACTTATTTCCCACGTCGACTCTTGCAATGCCGTCGTAGCCTAGAAATTCACAGCTTTTTTGAAAGTCTGTGGAGATTGATACAGTATACGAGATCCCATTAATTTCTACAACGGCCTTAGCTCCAATGTTATTTCCCAGCAATTTCGGTTTGGTTGCCAAATTCTCAGGAGCGACAAACAGATATGCCATTCTCGTCCTTCTCTCAGCTAAGTTAGTTGTAATATTGAGGAAGTGAGTTTTCCTTTTACCGACTTCTGCCCCCCATTCGCTGCTTTGTGATTGAACGGCGCTGTGCCCTTGATGAGCGTTTGTCCAAAAAACCAGATGAGTCTTGTTGTTTAACATTATCGAAGCTAACTGATCTCCAGTTTGGTCTTCTTGCACTTCAAAAGAAGAGTGTCGATTATGGAAAAAAGCCCCTGCGTATCGAGTTGAGCTATTCCATGTTTTCTCAATATGATCAATGACCAAAAGAACTCCAGGATTTAAGAGGACTATAGATCTATACACACTTGAGAGACCCAACTCAGATCTGTACCAACCACTAAACTCGCCACTAATAAAAACTATTTCTTTGGCATTCGAGGCAGCAACAATTTCCGCATCGGCGAACCAGATTGCATCGTTTTTGAAAGCTAACCATTTGCCACAGTCGCCAATTTGTCCTTCAAAAGGCCCAGAACACGTCGTTTCCGTCGTGGGACCAAATAGCAGAGCGTTATTGAGCCATGTGTATTTGGGTCCATAGAGGGCCTCGGTAATGAACGGTACACCGTAAGGTACAAAAACAAAGGAACCTTGATCTGGATGTTCATGTCCTGGGTTGAAATTACGCCATCCTGATATCCAGTCATATTGCGTATGTCTTACAATGCCATTTATGGTTCTTCCGTGCAAAACGCTTGATTTAAAAGAAAGAAATGTAATTTTTTCCCGGCCTTTTCCCAAAGATCCGCCTCCATAGGTCACAACACCCCAGTCGTCAAAACATGAAGTTGAGGAGTTGAGGTATTAGGAGGCTCCTTTTCTGGAATACTTGCATTATAGAAAATAAACTCCGTGTGAAGTGTGCAAAAACGTTGTGCGAAGGCTCCTTCCATTGTAGAATTGTGCGGTGCAGTGTTCCTAGATCTGACCAAGGCATTCGATACCGTTGACCATACGATCTTGCTATCTAAATTGTCGGCTATCGGTGTCTCGCCCAGCACTCTACAGTGGTTCAAGTCTTACCTGAATCATCGTAAACAGCGGACTGCCTGTAGCGATGCTGTGTCTGACCCTCTCCCGATGACCTTTGGTGTGCCACAGGGGAGCATTCTAGGACCGCTTCTCTTCTTGGTTTATATTAATGACCTTCCGCTGGTTATAAAGAATTGCGAAGTGACTTTGTATGCTGATGACACGGTCCTGTACTACTTTGCTAAAGAGCCACACCTGTTAGAAGAGGCACTGAATGATGATCTCTTGAAAGTTGCCCAGTGGTTACATGGAAATAAGTTAACTTTAAATCTTATTAAGACGAAATCCATGATTATAGGCAGTAATAGGAAACTTGTTGGTATTTCCTCTTTCACGTTATCTATTTTTGACACTGATATAAATTCTGTAAGTAGTTTTAAATATTTGGGAGTTATGTTGTCTTCAACTTTCACATGGTCCGACCATATTGAGTATATTTCATGTAAGGTTAATAAAAACCTTGGTCTTCTACGTAGGATTAAGTATTATTTACCTTATGATGCCCGGTTACTTTTTTTATAATAGCTTAGTGCTACCTATTTTTGATTATGCTGATTTAGTCTGGGGTGACAAGGACAATGTCTCACTTATGAAGGAATTGCAAATTCTCCAAAACAAAGCAGCTAAGTTGATATTAGATAGATCACCTCACTCCTCATCCACCGATGCATTGATTGTCTTGAGATGGCTGAATCTTGAAGAACGTAGGAAATGTCATCGATGTATATATGCATACAAGTGTATTAATGGCCAACTTAATCATTCTTTGGACATTGTAAGAAAGAGTGATATACATTCCTACAATACGCGCAATAACGATACTATCAAGCTCCCCAAAATTAAATATAATTGGGAAAACAACGCTCGCGGTACCACTGTTTCAAAGACTTTAATGAATTAGAGAGAACTGTAAGAAACTCAGCAAGTTTTCCAATTTTTAAGAAGTGTCTTTTTTTCTGCTTTTTATAATTGAGTACTTGTAGTGTGTATGTTTTAATTATTTCTGTAACTCGATTTTAGCTTGATTTTTTTTTTTTTTTTTTTTTTTTTTTTTTTTGTATCATATATATCGATTTTAGCTTAACCTTTTTATATTTTAATTGTATTATATAATATACATCTCGTAATTAGGACCTCTATGTAAACCACTCTTGTGATGGAGCATCCTATTAAAAGATTGTTATTATTAATTCTCAACACGTAACATGCGGATTTTCTTTGCAAGCCAGTTGCCATACCCATTTCGCATAACGTGACTATCTAAGGAAACAAGCTGGCTTTCGGGTCCGTAAAACCAGTTTTGGTTTGAGTCGGCAATACCAACAGTTTCTGTAAAACTTGGAAGAATTGTGTGGTATAAGAACCAGAAGTGTTCTCGCAACCAGATGTTGTTTGTCAAATCAGTTCCGAGATGTCTCTTAGCCAAGAAAATATACTGAGTCAGTGATCACGTAGTGTATGAGCCATAAGCCACGCCCTCTTCCATAGACCCATCGACGATTTGATCAAGAAGAAACATGGTTCTCCTCAGCATAAAATTAGCTCTTTCTTTCCAAACTTTCGCTTCTTTGATGTGCGGTTCAATCACTATTGCACCTGTAAAAAATGCAACGTAATTAGTAGCAACATGATTCTGAATGTATTGCTTTCCCCAAGCGAGTTTGAAAGATCTCTCGTAAAGCTCTTTTGTGACATCTGAAATCTTTCCAAGGGCTTTTATTCGAAGGTCTTCCTTTAAGTGTTCGAAAAGAAAATCGTAAGCGGTTGCCATAGCAACCAAGCTGTGTGCCACAGGGACGTCATCCCTTATTAAAGCACTGACACGCCAGTTAGGCAAAGAGACAAATGCATTAAAGAACTGCATTGCTACGTTCCTTGCTTGGACGTCCGTGGGGTTTAAAACACAGTACATGGCTAAGGCCGCAAAGTTATTGCCATGATCTTCGTTCCATCTACTGGCAAACACGCTCCAGTTGGTTGGTGGAAGAAATCGCGATGGTTCAGCTTTCATTCTACGCGCTGCTGTTCTCAAGCGAACAAATATATCGCGATGGGTCGTTTTGGCTTTCTCTCGTAAACGATGGACATCTTGGGATGAAAAGTAAAGAAACGGATGAACAGCTTGTTCGTGTGCAGGCTCGATCCAGTTTAACATGAATATCACAAGGAAGCTTACGTGGATCAACATTCTTTTCGAGATTAATGTCGGCGGACCAGTCTCTGAAAAAAAAATATAAATGAAACGAAATGTAAGTGTACTTAAGTTAAAATGGGTAATACTTCAATTTGTCCTTTGTTTGTCCTTACTTCGTACATCACGATTCTTAAGCAAACAGTTTCGCATTTCAGTCAAAACTGAAGAAAAATGGTGATAAAGTACAATAAAGCAGTTTTTTTAAGAAACTAGGACTCTCTTGACGTTCCTGTAATAAAAAAAAAAAGAAAGAAAAAAAGCGAAAGGATATCACTTCGAAAAATAATTTACCGTCATAATTTTAAGCCTTTTCGCCGCGTTTCGTTTTAGACAAAAAACATAATTTCTTCACTTTAATTTTTTATGTTACTTATACCTCTTTTACTCTGTTTAAGTTCGTCGTCGGTAATTAAAAATGAATTTAAAAATGGATTTGATAAACAATGGACTAAAAAATTGCTTTTTTTAAGGTTATTTAGTACAATCTTACTCATCAGTCACTCACCGTTACCACTGAACTATCTCAGATTTCATTTTCATTGAAAAACCGGTCGTATATTTCAAAAGAAATTATCAGCCTTTTGAAACAAAGGACACAAATGAAAGTAATATCTTTACACGTGACCATTTTTATTTCAAATATCGAAGAATACAGCTGATTAAATATAGACACATTCGAAGGCCTTCTCCTAAGTGACGCCTTTTCAGTTAATGTCAACGTTTATGTCATCGTTTGTGTGTCAGTTGGGGTCAGTAAATGAAAAAAGCCAAAAGCATATCACCTTTAAAGCCTGATTACACGTAAGCCTTGTGAGTGAAATTGAAACAGCTCTTATCCAGCCCGTACCAGTTTAGTACTCTATCCAATTCTTACTGATTTGTTCGACTTTACTAAACAACTGCGACTCGCATTCACTTAATTGTGACAGGAGAAATAAACATATTGCAGCTCCAAGAAGCAGAGGCGACGGAAATTAAACAACTCAAAACTGTTCCGAAAGGACACAACATCATTACTTTCTCCCATTTATATGTCATTACACAAATGCCACTTAAAATTTGCAATTTCAAATTTCACAAAAAGGCTTTGCTAGTTTAATGAATTAAAAATTTCTCTGTTCGCCCTGCTCCAAGCTAGATTTATTATTTGTAAATAGGAAGAAAAAGCTATAAACGTGGAAAAAGCAAATATTTGCACACTAAAGAGACTCAAACACAAAACCTTCAAATTTCACCACCTTCGGATGTTAGTAAAATCTATTATAATGTTATGCCTTTTCAGGACGGTTTTTGAATTTAATTTCTTTCTGCTTTGCTTCTAGGAGCTGAAATCTGTTTATCTTTCTGCTTTTTTTCGTTCCCTTTTTTTTTGTTTTTACAATAAAAGCTGTTAAAGTTAAAAATTTATGCTGGCCTTGTACCCCTAGTTTCAACAAGCGGTTTTTGAAAAGTACCTCTGCACTTCCGGAATATTCATCCTACCCTGCGCCTGATCAAATAAAAATTCAGTGGACCCCACTCTATGGACACCCGTTTAATACGTGTTTGTTCCAACAAAAAGCTCATATTTTTTCTATTACAAAAAACGGCTTAATACGGACACCTAGATAATACAGACAAAGGGGCATGTCCCCTTTTTATCTGTAGTAAGTCGAAATACCACTGTACTGTAAATAGCCAACTGGTTGCCTCCTGCCAGTTGGGGTTTTTAATCCTGTTTATGTTGTATTTGAATTATTTGTTTCTAAGTATTTGAGTGGAGTGTCTGTAAACTGGCTGGATAAGCTAAGTGCACTTTCCGCTATAAACAAGCTGTTAAACCTTTATACCTCTTATGTGTATATGTATGTTACTCAACATTGTGTGTAAATATGAAATCCTTTTCTGTGATCCGTCAAAATGAAACATCTTTAGGTACTTGTAGTTTTTCCTTAGATGTTTAGAAGAGTGTAATAAAACGTCAGCAAAGCAGCCATTTTTGACACGATGAGGACCGACACTTGCATCATCGCCGGCGTTTTGCGACACAAATTAGGGAGCTTAAGCAACGACGACGGCGACGTCAACGAGAACGGCAAAAAATCAATAGGTTTTGATTGGCAAAACGTCAAAAAATGAACTTTGCACGTGCATCACGCTTTTTTGTACATTTCTTTGCCGTCACTGCCCGACTACAACGTGAAAAATTTTCACGGTTTGTGGAGGACGTGAACACAAGACAACGACTTCCTTTTTCTTTCCCTGAACTCACTTGTAAAGAACGACTAAACTTCCCCTAAGACAACGGAGCAGGTGAATGGTCTTTAGGCCAAGTAAAAAAACATATATTTCTCGTCCCCGCCCGCTTCACTTTTTGGAAGCCGCCTCTCTTTTTTTATTATTTGTTATTACTAACGTTTGTACGAACGAAAACCAACAGGCGAGAGGACCGCTACCCGTTCTGCAGTGTATGGTACGAAAGGGGATACAAGCTAAAGAAGAAAACACGAGAAGAGCTTTCAGGCAGGCTAAATCATAGTCCTACTGACGTTTTTAATACACCCTTCCTATTGCAGTACATCGTATAATGCATCACGTTGTTGTTTAAATCATGTATCAAAATAGAACAAACTTGTGTTAAAACACTATATGACATCTCATTTTATTATTATTTGACCTAAGAACTCCAACTTATCCCTAGCTGGGGGAGGGTAGTAATGTGTAAATAAAGCGTTCAATTGGAAATATTAAAAAGGTCGGAAATAACAAAAAGAAAAGCGCCCGCCCGCTCTCGTTTTTATAGAAATCGGGAAGAGAAGTATTTTGTTTTTTTGCTTGGCCTTACATGTTTTAGAGCAGCTCCAAATTAACCAAACAAACCCATTTGAGGCACTTTTCATGTATAGAAACATTTGATTGTATTACAAATAAACTTATCGTGATCAGTCTATCGCCCGAGTGACCTCTTAAAATATTTTAAAATGTGTTCAGGCAACCAAGACGATTATTGGAACACCTCTCATACCATGGGTGACGATCCTTACCATTGAGCGACCGAAACCCTTGAGTAGAACTGAAGTCTTTAGCTCGTTTCCATATCTCCCGTTGAAGTCCTGATTTTTTTTTTTCCAGGCTTCTTACGCTATTGCATAGATTGCGTTCACAACGGCAAGGATAATTCTTCATTTGATATTCCTCTGTATCGTCTCGGGCGTCCAAACAATCGATACCAACCTAACGTTATAGGCAGAATGCTCATAACATGTTCATAACATGGAGATAATTACAAACGGTTACACATACAGGTTGTGTGGGCTTCCTGTGATTAGAGAACCTGGCCCGTTTCTCGAAAATCCCGGTAACTTTAAAATATTGAATCAAAATCTAGGGAATGAAAGTGCGCGTCCTAGCTAACAAACCAGTACATTTTATTTTGGTAATGGTAGCCATATCATATCTGTAAAGTTAGTAAAAACTCGACAATGAAGTTTTCTTTTTGCAGATCTTTACTGAGTTCTTTTTCGCAGTTCCGAGCCTAGCCTCCCACGCAGGCGTTTTTAGGGGAGCTCGTATTTCTTCCCTCCCCACAAACGCCTGCTCAACAGAGGACAACATTCCTTTCCCACGCTTAGCCAATCACGTTGTACTTTCCAAATTCTGGAAAGTTGACCTTGACCGCAGGGTAACCCGATAATCACGCGATCTGCATGAAACTTTAAGAAACCTTCATGACCTCTAATAAATGTTAGTCTCAGAGCGGCAAAAGTAAGATTTACTCAGTCAGATTTTAGAATTCTCTGTGCACTGCATAACCTTAGCCAACGAAAGAAAAGAAGGAAAAAGGTAACTCTAAGGTCACGTTCTGGGTCACGTTTTTTCACTATCACGAGCTTATGAGTCATGTTTAGCCTGTCAACACTTTATTTAAAAACCGTTGATTGGGCACTTACCACGCGAATGCAACAATGGGAAAGGAATGTTGTCCTCTGTTGAGCAGGCGTTTGTGGGGAGGGAAGAAATACGAGCTCCCCTCAAAACGCCTGTGTGGGAGGCTATTCCGAGCCAAGCGTGTTTTCCTCTCTCCCCAGCCTCCGCGCGCCCTGCAGAAGACGATTTTGCGGAAAGGAAATCCTTGACCGTTAGAGGGTTATAAGTATCTTCGGGGGGTGGGGTGAAATTTTGCTTAGTACTGGTTATTTTGGGTCAATTTTCGATCAATCTTAAACGAGATGAGATTCATTTTGGAAGTCGAGGACAGTTGAACTACGCGATGTTTTTCAATAGCGCATTCGTTCTTATTCAATTCTATAGTAACTCAGACAGTCAACGTGATACACATGAACGTATGAATTAATAACTAAAAGGTGGTGTTTAGTTTTAGGGTACAAAAATTATTCAGTGATTTTTGAGGTATATAGCGTTTTTGTGCGTGTAGTCTTTAGGTCCAACGCGAATAATGAATAGGCCACTTTACTCCCTCTTCCTCCCCACCTCCCCGCCCTGATCATGACCCGTGGATAGCGTGGGCTGCAGAATATGCGCATTTTTGGTGGTGCGGAATATGATGTCACGTCTTGGCATGTTTAAATATCCGCTTTCATATTCACACGATATTTCCCTTCGTCATTCAAGCAGACGCTCTCATTAACAGCTTGCAATAAGACTGAGTGAAGTGGCAAAAAGTAAGTACATTATTTACATCAACAATGAGAATACAGAAATCGGGTGTTTACTTGTACTAAAACATCTTTCCTTAAGATATTAAGAGCAAGCACTACACTAACAAGTCAGTATCCGAAAGTTAATACAGATAGATTCAAGAACTCTTACATTAATCGCTTAATTTTTAAATACAATTTAGCTATGTGAGCGTATTTTTTTTTATTGTAAATAACTTAAATATATATACTTTTACTCAAATATTGTAACATAAGATATGTATTTTTTATCTTGTGTGGAAATAAAGACTATTATTATTATTATCATTATTAACTAAAAATCCGGCTGGATGCTGT